TCGATGACTTTAAGCTTTTTTGAAAATGTATCTCCTAAGCCCTTAGGGCTGAGGATCGAATCCCTACCCCCTCATTTGTACCCTGTTAAAAAATACATATATATACTTTTAATATGGCACTTGGGTCTAGTGACCCAATGACTTTAAATTTTCTTGAAAGTGTATTCTTTTAGCCTTTAAGCTGGGGATCGAACCCCACCCTCTTATTTGTACCCTGTTTAAAAAAAAATATATACTTTTAATATGTGTCACAAGTAAAAAAAATCCAATAATTATTTGAAGGGGATGGGAAAGAAAAGTGAACAAAAAAAATTATAACATGTGATAAGATTATCCGATCAAATGTACAATTCAATCCAACAAATTCATTTCAAATTGTGCCGACCAGAATAAAAAAAATTTCATTTCAAATTGGGCACCCAACGGTTCGATACAAAAACCTTCTAGGAGTCATAAATTATACAGAAAAATGGGACTGCATTAGACCCATTTGTTTCCATTTGACAAGGAACGAGGTTTTGCCACAAGATTTGGATACACGCCTGCAAGAGATTCGTCCAAAACTCAGCTAACCACTGGCTCATCACCCATCAAGATGTGTCATCCGAAAACTATTTGGATCTCAGGCATGAAGGGAAGGGAACATTTCTCTTAAAGAACCAAATAAAAGAGAAACAGATGCCAAGCAGATTCTGGCAAAGTTACACGTGCAAAAGTAAAAAATGCATTTGATAAGAAATCACGGGGTCAATACTGCTTTGGAATCAAGCGTTTCAACTTTAGTGGATTTTTCTTTCAATGGCTTTGCAACCCCATCAATTGCTATATTCCCCACTCCAACCTCCATAGCTTCCCTTTCATCCTTCTCCCTTCTGTCCTTTTCAGATGCACTCCCATCAGTGTGCTGAGGTTCAGTAGCAGCCATGGAAGGTTTAAGAAGTCGTGGCCCTGCATTGATCCATGGATGACTAAGGCATTGAGCAGCTGTTGGCCTCTTTTCAGGGACAAAATCAAGTATTGGCATGAGGAAGTCAGCCATGTCAGTTGCATCTTGCTCGCTAAAATCATACTTTTCCATAAGCACCTTATTAATAGGCCAAAAGCGCAGCCTACGAATGTGCCTCAAATCCCCATATCGGTTAAAGAAATCCCGGGAATAGCGACCAGCTAGTGCAATCTGAAGAAACATTATTAGAAACTTGAACAACGTGAGTCACACATGTGATACCTCAAAAAGTTGTTTGTCATGGAAAGAGTAAAAATAATTAAAAAGCTGACTCATATTAAAGCGGCACTTTAAAGGGTTACCTTGCGTGGCATCATTCCTAGAAGCTCCATCATCAAAGCCAAGTGATCCTGCAAGCAATAATTGCAAAGTAAAGTGAAGGAAGAGGGAAAAGGGAAGCAAAAAACCAAACAATGTACCATAAAGTCATAAATCTTTTGAAACACTCTAGTTAGATTCAAACGAGTTCATCGGTATCAATAGCATTGCCTCCACAAAACAATTTCCACTTTCCACTTAAATTCAGAGGGCTTATATATACAGTGCAAAAACCAAGAAAAACTCATAAAAAAGCAATATGTTTTCCAGAGTCCACATTAAACCCAGATGGCCTATAGACGTTAAAATGAATCATATTAACAGCAGCCTAGAAAGTAAATGAATGAGATAGTCAAAACTCTACATACCTCGTCCCTGTCATAGTTTTCACCGCTGTGAGGATCGAAAAGAACATCGCCTGTAGTAAGCTCAAAGCAAATGCAAGCAAAGGACCAAAGATCCGCTGAAGTTGAGTATTTGGATCCAAGGATAACCTCTGGACACCTGTACTGCCTTGTCTGAATATCACTTGTAAATTGTTTGTACGTCCAACAAGCATTTCCAAAATCAACCAATTTACATTCAAGATCAACTTCAGCCAAAAGCTTTTGCCTTGCTGCATGACTACCCCTTTTATTACCCGAATTTCCCTGACTATGGTCTTGGACCCCATCACCCTTTGTTGTTTCATCTGTAACTTTAGAAATGTTGGGGTGCCCCTCAACTGAATCTTCATTGGACTTTGCACCAGCATTAGACTCTTCTTCACCATCTTTTTTTGAATCTATGACATTTTCAGCAGCTTCATTTTCTACACAAATCTGAGCTGCCTTCTTAGCCTTCTTACGGATCTTCTTCTTTTGATTCCTGGTTAAATCCCCGTTCAAATTTTTAATGTCTTTAGAGAGAACAGGCTCAGCAGCAACCTTGTCCTTTCCGGTTGGAAGGATAAGTGGAGCACCAGATTTCCTAGGATCTCGGGATGGATCAATCATTGACAACAATAATACATTCTCTGGCTTCAAATCAGTGTGAATTATTGAAAGCTCATGATGCAAATAATTGAGACCAACGAGGATATGAAAACAGATCTCTTTGACCATAGAAAGAGGAATTCCCCTGTAATCACTGTATTTGATTAGGGTCAATAGATTATCTCCCAAGTACTCAAAAACCATACACATATGCTGTCCATTTGGCCCTGAATGTTTAAAATGATCCAAAAGCTTCACAACACACTTTTTGTCATCTGGATCTCCCTCAGAAATCTGTTTAAGGATCTTTATCTCATCCATTGCTGCTTCAGTGTAATGCTGAGCACTCTTTTGAATTTTCAGAGCTACATAATGCTACAAACGATAAATTTCTCATTTGGTTAAGGAGCTGAATCATGAATATTAAATAGCAGAGGATAATCAAAATCAACTTGTGAGCACTGACTTT